TTGGTGGTTTTTGAAATTTTGAGGTTTCACCTGAGATTCTGGCATTTCGGGCAAAATAAATTTATATTAAAAAAATCGATTCAGGATTTTAAGGAATCGATTTCACGTTATCCAAGCCGGAATCGATTTTAGTCGATAAATCGATTATAAAAACCCACGGCTAGTAGTGGCACAGGTGGAAGAGGTGGCTGGGGCTGGGAGACTGGCATCAACAAGTCTCTCCTTCCCTTCAAAACCTTGGTCCGTGCAGTGCTGGGCGTGGGCTCATATTTGTGATCTTCAGTTTGTCCCAAATTGTATTAATATTATAACAACCTTTTGAAATGAGGACTTTTCTACCAGGTGTTTTGAAGAGACTCACTTCAGTGCGGACTTAAATGCAGAGTACTTTGCATGAGGCTCTGTACGGATGGCTGCATCAAACCGGTGGATCCAGTGAAAGATGTCCAGACGCACAAGCATTTCCACAAGCATTTCATTTCCGAACCATGACCTTCCCCAGACAGCTTTTTCACCACCTAAAAGAAAAAAAAGGGAAATGTTTGCATTATGTAATAGTATTTTAAATAATAAAAACCCCATTACAATACCATGAACATCTTTTGTATCCCCTCTGTCACAACAATACAGAGATATACCTTTCTGTCCATAAAAATTGTTCAAAGGCTAATCACACACAAAACAAATACGTGGCCAATATCTGTTGAAGACAACAGACCAGTGTCTTTCAAGACTAAGCAAGGTCTGCTTGCTTGTTTCATGACTTTGTTTCATTTTACTCACTTGCTAGTCAAGATTGCCGGGAACATGGCTTGGTGTTCCTGAGTTGTGATAAAATTGCCGAGTCCCAGGCAAGCCACCGACCAACTTTTCCTCCTCCGCCACTTCTGCCTGCCTTTGTACATGTCCACAGCACGGGACCTCAGTAAGCATCGTGTACCAGTTGGACACGTCACAGATGTGACGTACCTGAAGTCTATAATGAAGAGAGGAAAATGACCAAAATAGACATATGAATCAAGGATGGCAGTTTTACCGTTTACATTTGAAGACTTGAGTAAAATATTTATGTGAAATTACCCTGGCGATAGCCAGACTTGTATATGTGCACATTTTGTCCTTTACCCACACATTCATCAGCTCGAGGACACTTCAGAGAGGACTTCCATACCCAAAAGGACCCCACAAAAAGACGTGGCTGCGAAAAAAAGAGCCCTGGCATAGCCAGGAGGTTCTGGTGGGCAAAACCACATGCTATCTGATTTAATCACCCGTCGCCTCTTTAACACACCAGTGACATCCTTGTATGTCTGAACAGGAGTAAACAGCCCTCTTTCAGTGTCCTCTTTAAGCCAGGAAATGTCAGCAGATGGGATACCATTAGGATTTTCCCAGAGACACACCGATCCCTCTAGCTCCACCTGAAACACACACATATGACATAGAATACTACAACAACACGCACGCACACACACACTCTAACTGAAATAGTCTGATTTCAAATAAATATCACTTACAGGTGAATGACTCTCAACAGTAATTGTGTTGTATGATCATGACTGGGATGCAGATGACTTAGTGAGTCCAACAGTGTCAAGTTTTATGGACTGTGTGGCAGCCTCTGTGGACTCACGGTGTTTGGGCTGCACAGTAGATTTGTTTTGTGACTGTACAGTGTTCTCAAACTCCTTGGACAGGTGAGCTGTGTCTGTGTTCCAGACGTCTGGGAGGAGGAAGCACCTCTGCTTGTCAGCTGTTGCTTTAGAGGTTGACTTGCAGATGTGGAGTGTTGGGACTTCAGTAAATCTATAAATGATATGAACAATTAGTTTTGTAATTATAATGACTTTGTACAAACAGTAGCCTACAATGTATATTAACTCTGAATCTCACATACCTTCCACAGACTGGGATGCAGCTATCAGTTCAGCATCATCACCTGGCCACAATGAAGGATCACACCTGGGGGTACTCGTCAGCCGTTGCTAAACAATACAGTTCATTGTGAGTACCACGATCGATGGAAAAAATGCACATGCACACTTTGCCAAGATTAATCACATATCACTACCTTTAACTAAGTAATTTACTGCCCTGTTCTGCTGCACAGCACTTACTTGTTCCTGTCAGGTAGTGATCAGCTGATCACGGGGTCGGGTTTGAAAGGGAGACACCACCCACCTGTTCGCCGCTCAGACAGCGTTCTCTTCATATCAGGAGCTCCTGTCACGATCGAGGGAAACGCACGAATTAAACACAGTAATTCGGTGTGCCCGTGTGGCGTGCTGGCTAGACCCAAACGCGGCGAAGGCTAGCGATGGGTTGGAACAGGCACGCAGTTACTCTAGTAACGATCAGTGCACGAAGCCTGGCTTCGGAACAGCCGTTACAGACGGAGAGCGAGCGGAGCCGGGCTGAGAAAAAGGATCGAAGGGAAAAACGGTCGCTGAAGCAGGCGGAGACTGACGTCGGGAAGGATTCTCGAAGGATTTCCACAAGTTTATTACTGACTCTGTTCTCCCTAATCTTCAACTATACTATAAGGATGTTATCTTTGGCTGTTATAATTTTAAAGACAAGGACAATGATGCTTTCTTCTTTATAAATTTGGTTTTATTTTTGGCAAAAGCAAAAGCATAGTCCTCGGCAGAAAGCCTGAACTTCTTGTATTAAAAATGGAACTTGCACAATATATAAGGACAATCTCCTCATCAAAAAACGCCAAGGCCCTCGTGACTGTTAACATCTGTAACCGTTTGAAACTACTAACTTGAATTTGGCTCTTGCTAACTTTTGTTTATTTATGTTCCCCTTAATTTATTTTATTTTTTGTTCTCACTTTTGTCTCACTGTCCCTGTCACTCTCTTTGTTCCAAATTGTACACAATGTCATCTTTTATGTGGTTCCTGTTTAACTTGACTGTATGTCTAAAATGTGATAAATAAAGTGAAAAAACAAACAAACAAAACTGTGTGCCTTCCGAATGACCTCCTTCTGCTCATCACTGAACTTCTCAGGTCTGTCCTTTTGGCTGCTGTACTGACAATATAATTCCCACATCTCTTAAAAGGTGTGATCTTCAAACCCTTTCTGACCATAGATGCATCTGTCAAAAGTAGCGGACTCTTCCATTGCCGGCTTCTTCGCTGTTCCGCTGCGGGGTGACGCAACTTCGGATTCGCCGCTCCTATTGGCACGAATCTACAGTGTCTACGCTCACCGGGCCAATAAAAAGACGTAAAGGTCTGCAGACTGCGCTACCGTAAACTCGAGTAAAGAGAAAGAGAAAGAAACATTCGTCTGTCTGGACAATCGGAAGAACAAGCTAACTGATTACTGGTATCACACTAAGAGACTTTCAGCTTTCTTTAAAAATACATCAGATTTTAAGTTCAGGGATTTTTTAATTGTTGAAGAATACCACCATCTTTTGGACATTTATTACACTTTAAACGAAGGAGCAATGTCTGCTGTAACGTCTGCATTTATCTGCTGGACTTTACTGTCTGTCTGCCTCTCGTTTGTCTCTGCAGGTGAGATTAAATGTCAGATTTATAAATTATTAACACTCTTCAAGGATTCTGTTCATTGTTTTAAAGGTGTGTTTAACTGGGCTGTATGACCTGCCACATCTGCCGAGAGTTAATGCTTAAGGACTGATCTGACGTCTGTTTCTTTTCCAAGCAATTCTGTTAAACCAGAAATGTGGGAGGAGGAGAGCTGCGTCATTTAGCTTGTGAGCACTTTGTTTACCTGAGCTTGTCCTCTCTTCCTGCTACACCTGCTTCATTTTCTCATACCTACAGGTCAAAGTTCACCCCAGAGCACATCTGATATCCAATGTTCCCTCTAATTTTTCATGTGTCTGAGCGAACACACAAACTCCCTGAGCAATCCCTTGGACCACTGTGAGCAACAGCAGATGTGTGCACTGTGGTCATGCCAGCATCAAATCCATCCAAGTTACATGGTTTATTAAAATAATCAAATTACAGAATTTACATTTATGTTAGACTACTTTTAATTAACTGCTTTAGCCCACTTACAACGACCTGTGTAGTACGTTAACACTATTGGAAGTTACTTTCTTTTATTTTATATATGTATGTATATGTATGTATATATATGTATATATATGTGTATATATATGTGTATATATATATATGTATGTGTGTGTGTGTGTGTATATATATATATATATATATATATAAATGCAGATCAAATCAAATCACTTTTATTGTCACTTCACATGTGCAGGTACACTGGTACAGCACATGTGAGTGAAAATCTTGTGTTCGAGCTGCACAAGCAACAGAGTTGGACAAAAATACAATAATGTAAAACAAGAAAAATATAAAAATTGGCTAAATCTGAGACTAATAAATATATGTACAATATATAATAGTATATGCATTACTGGATGTGTATACTAGATATGTTTTTCTATGTGTGTGTGTGTGTGTATACATATTTTACAAATTAAATAGAGTAAACAATAAAATAAAATATATAAAATATACAGAAGAAAAAGCATAACAGTGTATTTATAGACTAAATAATAAGTAATTATGAAACAGTGGTGCTGTAACTACAGTAGCCCTTCATTAAGTGAGTTCACACAATATTCCTTCACTAGACAGTCAGTCATTGACTGAATGTGCCCCTTGTGTTTGTCTGAAGCAATGTACAGTAAAAAGCTCCCTGATCTCCCAGTAGCTCAGGTTGTTCGTTGATCTCTTGAACCCCTCTGTTGTTTCCTCTTTCAGTAGAAGAAGTTATATTAGGTCGGACTGGAATGACCATCGCTCTGCCATGTCAAGTTCCAAGCAACAACAACCCCATTGTAGCTGTGGAGTGGAGCAGACGTGACCTGGAGCCAGAATATGTCCTTTTTTACCAGGACAATAAGCTTGTTCCAGATTACCAGCATTCGTCTTTTAAGAACAGGGTGGATCTGCAGGACAGACAGATGAAGGGTGGAGACGTGTCTTTGATTCTGATGGATCTTACTACTGATGACGCGGGAGCATACGAGTGTTACGTGGTCCAGAAAGGAGCGAACCACAGCAAAACAATGAGTCTGGATGGTTACTACATCAGAGCCACCTACCTGACTGTTTCTCTTCAAAGTGAGTTGGTAGAGTTCAGTTTGTTTGTTGTCTGATGTTTCTGAGGTGAACAAAGCTTGGATCCTTGTACTTGTACCTTATACTTTAAAACTGGCTACAGCCTGTAAAAGACAGGTGCATTTGTAGACATCTGTTGTTGAGAAGAGATGTCTAGGTTGCCATAGCATCCCCTGTTCTTTTCTGTGATTGGCTGCTGCTGTAGTGATGAGTTAGTTCTTTAACCTCTGTGCTCTATTTTGTTTCTTCTTTCAGACCACAATAACAGCATAATTATTGGGGGAGACACGGCCACTCTAGAATGTCAAGCTCCAAACAGCAATGACCCCATCATAGCTGCATTTTGGATAAGACCTGACCTGGAGCCAGAATATGTCCTTTTTTACCAGGACGGAGAGATTGATACAGATTATCAGCATCCATTTTTTAAGAACAGGGTGGATCTGAAGGACAGACAGATAAAGGATGGAGACGTGTCTTTGATTTTGAAGGATGTGACAGCTGATGACTCAGGACTCTATGTGTGTTATGTTGACCAGCAAAAAACGAAACGAGCCAGTCTGTACATTCACCCCATCAGAAGCACCTACCTAACTGTTGTTCCTCCAGGTAAGTTTGAGTTTTACATGAAGGAGGGGTTCACATGAATAGGATGAGGGACCTATATAATCTTCTGTACCCGACATTTACACTGACCATGAAAAAATAGCATGCCATGCCATGATTAGTGACTCAGTGCTTTCTTCCGGTCCAGCTTTGTCGAGCTGCTGGTAGAATTTCAGGATGCCAGCCACTTCCTCTATCTGTCAGTACCACATGCCGTGCAGGGGCTTGTCCTTCCATGATGGTTCATGGATCCCCGTCCTTTCTTCTTTGGCTTTCTGGTACCACCAGTATTGGGGAGTAACGCAATACATGTACCGGTGTTACGAATTTAAATACAAAATATGAGTAACTGTATTCCGTTACAGTTACAGTTTAAAAGAGTGATATTGAGAATACAGTTACTTTGTTGAAATAAATGGATTACACTGCGGTCTTTTCCTGTTTCATATGTTAGGCTGTGCCCTCTGTTTCTGGTAATTCCACGCCAGTGGAAACCCAAACAAAACATGCATTACAAGGCTTTAATGCCGGTGTCTCATTCTCGCGCCCCATGTCACCTCTACTTGCAGCCCACATAATGACATGAAGAAATGTTTTAAAAAATATTTATTCCAAAAATGATTTAATGTGACGGCAACAGGCTGATTGTTGCAGGCATAGCCCTAACGAATGTAGCCTCATGGGCAGTGTAGTCCGTTCTGCAGTGAGAATAGTTTGCCATACCCGTTGGGTGTCTATGAGCGAGAGAATGAGAAAAAGTAGAGTGGAAAAGTACGAGTTGCCTGACGAGCCCGCTTGTAAGTACGCTATTAAGACTCGATTATACACATTTTTCGTGTTTTTCCCCGAAATAATAAGTTCCAATGGAGTAGCCTTCCAACGCCGCTCTCTGTCTCTCGGTAGCAAAGTTGACCCAAACAACAAAGTAAAGCTAGTTTTCGGCTATGAGCCCGACACGGGATCCGACGTATTAGCCAGAGGTCCCTTTGCTAATACTTTATATATATATATAATTATTGTTATTATTATTATTATTAGTCACAGAAAAAAAAATATTTTTTTTTTTTTCTGTGACTGGCTGCTGTAGTTAGTTCTTTGATTTCTCTACTCTGTGTGTTGTTTTCCTCCTTCAGACCAGAAAAACATCATAGTTGATTCTGGGCAGAACGTAATTCTACCATGTCGAGTTCCACTCACAAGTTTTAAGCCTATCATTACTGTAGTGTGGAAAAGAGCTGACCTGGGAGAAGAATGTGTCCTTTCTTACCCGAATCAGCGATTTCATCCAGAAAATCAGCATCCGTCTTTTAAGAACAGGGTGGATCTGCAAGACAGACAGATGAAGAATGGAGACGTGTCTTTGATTCTGAAGGATGTGACTACTGATGACGCGGGAGCATACGAGTGTCATGTGGTCCAGAGGGAATTGTTGGGTTGGGAGATAGCCAGTCCGAAAGGTCATCGCATCAGCACCATCTATCTGAGTGTTATTCCGTCGAGTGAGTTGGTTCAGGTTATACACACTCACATACACATATATATAAATATATATGATTGGCTGCTCTAGTGATCACTTCTCTTCTTTAACCATTCTGTGTTTTTCTCTTTCAGACAAAAAAATCATCATAGCTGTGATGGGACAGACGGTCACTCTGCCATGTCCAGCTCTAATCAGCAACAACCCCATAATAGCTGCAGAGTGGAGCAGAGTTGACTTGGAGCCAAAATATGTCCTTTATTATCAGGACTACAAGCTTTTTCCAGATTACCACCAACATCCATCTTTTAAGAATCGGGTGCATCTGAAGGACAGAAAGATGAAGGATAAAGACATGTCTTTGATTCTGAAGAATGTGACAATTAATGACACTGGAACATACGAGTGTTATGTGGCCCAGAGAGGAGTGAACCGCAGGAAGAGAGCCAGTCTGGATAGTTACCCCATCAGCACCACCTACCTGAGTGTTGTTCCTCAAAGTGAGTTGGTAGAGTTCAGTTAGTACTATTGTCAGTATAGATCAGGGGTAGGCAACCCTTCTGATTATGAGTGCCATCTAAAATTTCCTCAGAAGTAAATGTGCATATGATTGCATTAGCAATAAATTTAATAACGCTTTATATGCATTATATATAAAGAATTATATATATATATTACACACTATATGGAACCACTCTATAAGATTATATTTGTTCGCAAATGTTGGCAGCTATCAGCGAATAGTTATCAGCTATTTTGAAACAAAACACAAGAATTTTTATCCATAACAGCAAATGAACTGTACAACAGAGAATGCAAATGCTTTTTATGGTCTCCTGACAACAATGATAAGAAAAATAAACTGGGCCAATATGACATGTTTGTTAATACAGAGATACACATGATAATGTGATCTCTGGTCTCCCGCACAGAGACACAGTTCTCCGAGTGTCCAGCATTCAGACGGCTACCTCAGGACACTTTTTGTGTCAGAGAAAATCTGCTCACACAGACATGTAGAGCCAAATACTGTCAACAAGGCCTCTGTAATGTTCTGAATACAGTTAAACTTGTCAGGTAATGATGTCCAGCAGGTGAAAATGCAGCTCCATGAACACCACCCAGCTGTATAGAAACTCATGCTAGCTAGTACCCAGTACGAAAAAGTCAGCATAATGAAAATCAACTCCACCTAAACTTGGTTTATATCTGACCCAGATAGACTGCAAGTCATAACTTCTTACCTGAAGTTCAGTTCACCTGACACTCAGACCGGCGGCCGCCTTGCGTCTCTCTTCCTCCTGCCTCCCCTTCCCTCATCCACCTCTGGGAAGCTCTGCCATAGCCACCACCAAACAACTGAGTTATTTTTGCACCTGCCAACATCTGGCCAATCCACCATCTTTCAATTTTTATACCATTACAAAAAAAAATTAAAAATCATCGGCCCACCAAGAAAATACCCAGTGTGCCCGATGGCTACTCCAGATATGGTCGTGCCATCAGTTAAGCCTTCGCATGCCCCAGGTTGCCGACCCCTGGAATACATATAGCTGCTTCTTGGTTTTTGATGTCTGATGTTTCTGAGAAGAATAAAAGTCTGAAGCTTGGATCTTTGTAGTCGTACTTTATACTTTAAAACTGGCTACAGCCTGCAGAAAAGAGGTGATTCACTTCTGTTATTCCTAAATGTTTATAGTAACTTAGACAAAGTAGGTAAAGGGCTGCACGTTGAAGAACTAGTTGAAACATGAGACATATAGCATTGGGTCTTTTTCTTGGTTTGTATTTTTTTTGTCTGTGATTGGCTGTTGTAGTTATCAGTTAGTTCTTTAACCTCTCTGCTCTTTGTTTTTTTTTTTCTCTTTCAGGCCTAAAAATCATCACAGCTGAGTCTGGACAGAACGTCACTCTGACATGTCGAGCTCCAAATGCTGTCCTCATACCAGGTGTAGAGTGGAGCAGACGTGACTTGAAGGCACAATATGTCTTTTGGTACTGGGAAAAAGAGTTTGTTCGAGATTACCAGCATCCATCATTTAAGAACCGGGTGGATCTGCAGGACAGACAGATGAAGGATGGAGTCATGTCTTTGATTCTGAAGGATGTGACGACTTCTGATAGGGGAACATACGAGTGTTGCATCATCCAGGAACTGAGAGACGGTAGAAAGTTATACATTTTAAAGACTGATCCCATCAGCATCATCCACCTAAAAGTTATTCCAAAAGGTAAGTCTGTTGGACTGAGAGCTGTTATTGTGCTTTTATTGGTTTCTTTTGCAAGTATAATCTACTACATAAAAATGACACAATAGACAGAAGGAGAAAAAAACAGCACAACACAAATACAGCCAAGCACCAAGGTAGAACTTTCTCTTCATCCCACTCATCCCACCTTTCGTGGCAAAAAGCCAGATGCTCTGAGGACAGACGTGAGTTCACAGTGATGTGAATCCAGCAGGAGGTAGTCAGCTGCAAATGTCTCACACAGCCCTTGTTTGTTTTTTAACGTCTTTGGGTTTTTTCTGGTTTTGATTGGAAATGTGTGGGGGTGGGCATATTTAGTCTGGAAACTGTTAGAAATCAAGCAATATAAGCATATATTAAAAAGTTTTGATTACAATCATCATTATTTTCCTTTGGGGGAAGACTGAAACCTCTGTGGAGGACCTAAAAAAAATTATGCAGGGAAAGTATGGGTCTTTGTGAAGGCTTTTCCATGTCATTTCCTCATCAGATTTATTGTTTATTTCCCTTGAAGGTTTAGTTGTTCAGTGCCAGAACAGAATTATTTAAATGAAAGGAGGGAGCAGGGAACCCTTAAGAGGTCCTCAAGCCATTTTTCAGCCACTGTTTTTTTATTTTTTTTTATTTTTTTATTTCAAATCATTTTCACTGTGTTGAATAGAATATAGCCAAACATGCAAAACATTTTTATTTATCTTATTTTAAAATTGTAGTCAAAGTTCATTAGATTAGCTTAAAATGGCTAAGCTACAGACATGCATCCACCTTTAGGCCTGGGGGCCCCATTGAAAACCATTATAAACGTTATTTTTCATCCCAAATTTATTATAACATAAATTAATGCAGTTCTGGAGATAAGTATTTTTCTGGGGATTCGGGGGCTTAAATTTCTTTTTTATTTGGCCAGCAGGTGGCCAATTTTTTTTTTCAAATTTAAAGCAATGGTCCAAAATTCATTATTTTCCCCACTTTGTTGTTGACTACAATGATTTTTATGTGTGACTATCAATGCTGCATAATGGCATGTGCGTTTTTAAAAAGTAATAAAGGTTTGTTTGCCTAAAAAAAAGATCTGTGTGACAAAATTTTTTTTTGTCTAATTTCAAAAATCTTAGAATGCCACACTGCAATACAAACAAATAACTATTAAAGGAACCAAAACTAAATTAGACTTCAAACCAGGGTTTTAATAGTTTTGCAATTTTCATTAGTTTTTATTTTTATTTAGTTTCGACTTCAGATTTTCAATTTTATATGAGTTTTAATTAGTTTTTACCAATTGTTTGCTAGTTTAGTTTAGTTTTTATTTTTTTGAAAATCCGTAGTTTCAGTTTAGTTTTGATTAGTTTCAGTTATAGTTTTAGTTTTGTTTGCAATAATTAAGTGTAACAAAATCCCAGTTTCATCATATCAGTCCTGCTCTTCTGCTTATCCTTGGGTATGTTGCTATTCCAGCTACCATACCCAAATAAATAAATAAATAAATAAATAAATAAATAAATAAATAAATAAAGGCAGATGAACAACCATTGATACCAGGCAACTATAAAATGTATATCTTGGCCCCAATAAGACTATTAACTCTTGCCGCACCGGGTGTTTGTAATTTTGGTTCGAGTGAATTGATAAACTTTTTGAAGGCAATTGACTCACACAGTTGTGTAGATATCCCCGTCCTGTTGTCTCGGGATGCATCACGCTGCCTTGCCCGGGGTTAGCTTCTGTTTCTGGGGATGAGGGTTGAGTGTGCTCCCTTCTCAAGGTAAGCTAGGTTAGCTTTCTTGTGTGAACTTTTCAAGTGCGCTTTAAGGTTTGTGGGATTTTCTTCCCTTTAGAAATGTCCCTCATAATTTGTTTCTTTCCACTACAAGACACTTGCTTTATCCAAAGCACAGTCATATTCAAAGTAATCCCAAATTGGACTCTGGCGCTTTCTCCTGACTTTTCCTGACATGATTCTGCGCGTGGACGGAGCAGCAACACAGACGACTCGACTAACGTACTGCCACCTGCTGGCATAATGAGACACAGCAAGAAAAAAATCTGGAAACTAAACTTCATTTTCACCCTTGACTATTGTATGACGCACACACATCAATGAAAACTAAACACATTTTTGCTATAAATGCAGTTAATTTTAGTTAGTTTTGTGAGCACTCTACAGTTTTAGTTAGTTTTCCTTTTTTTGTTTTTATTACATTTCCGTTAACGAAAATGTTTTTTCACTTCTAGTTTTCATTATTTCGTTAGTTTTCGTTAACGATAATAACCTTGCTTCAAACTCAGATTGTTGAGGCAGATTTTTACGAGAATACTGAGAATAAGCCGTAGCATGGAAGTATGTCATTTTGACGACATTTCCTGCCAATAAACGCACAGAGTGATGGGCTTTCCGTCTCTTTTTAGAGAATAATAATAATAATAATGGATTGGATTTATATAGCGCTTTTCAAGGCACCCAAAGCACTTTACAATTCCACTATTCATTCACTCTCACATTCACACACTGGTGGAGGCAAGCTACAGTTAGCCACAGCTGCTCTGGGGCAGACTGACAGAAGCGAGGCTGCCATATGGTGCCATCGGCCCCTCTGGCCAACACCAGTAGGCAGTAGGTGAAGTGTCTTGCCCAAAGACACAACGACCAGGACAGAGAGCCTGGGGATCAAACGGCAACCTTCTGGTTACAGATGCGCTTCCCAACCCCCAGAACCGGCTATTTCGGCTCAGCTCACTAAAAAGAGCCAGCTCTTCAGGTTCTTTTGTTGCTTTAATTAATTAATTATTAACAATATAAAAGTATGCACAAAAGGAATTACTAATGTTAAAAAAGTGGTTTTATTTATATATGTTTACGTATAAATAAATATGGTGGCCCCTAGAGACAAAGCACATACAAAATCCAAAAAGTATGTACAACAGGGGTCTCAAACTCAAATGAGCCGCGGGCCACTTCTGGCACCATCCTCTCATTGGGCCACATTAGTGTCCAAGTAGTACAAAAAAACAACCACGAACACCCACTGATATTTCCTAAAATGTAGTGTTTTGTTAGTTCTATTTAATTCCAAATATTGTGTAACAAGTCAAAATTGGAAGCATGAATGCAATTTTTTTCTCACTCTTAACTATCTGAAGCCTTTCAGTTTAATTTGTCATACGCAAGTTAGCGCAGGGTCAACATTGCAATGAAATGTATTTGACGAGCAGAAGACAGTCACTCAGCAGTGTAGTACAGTAGTTTCATTGAACTACCAAATAAACAGCTCTTTCT